GGGGGGCAGTGAGCAAGTGGCTGGGTTAAACCATGACAAAGCTTAACAGTGTAAGAAATAGCAGTGTGAAGGACTTAAACTGATTATAATTGCAATGTCTTTGCATGCCTCTTCCTAGTACAGCTAGTTTGAGAAGACTATGGAAATCACCATTACAATAGACCTCTTCTAAATGACAGCCAGAAGCATGCCAGCACAATGTGCAGGAGTGCTGGGAGGCATCAGGATACCTAGAAAAGGCACTTAGGACAAGGGGTTGAAAACCAGTTAATCAGGTTTTACTGTACCGTCAGTTTGACATATGCCTCCTCTCACCCTTTGGTTACAAGTTGTCAGGAGCAGATGGCACTGTTTCACCTGGAAATCAAGTTGAGAACTGTATTTCTTGACACTGTCAACTGTCAATATGCAAATTTTCACTGATAGCACCACCTTTCCCTGAGCTTAAGCACTACGTTAGCTGAGATTACTGTAATAGCTGACCATTCTACTACCTATTACCTATAATGAATTTTTAATCATTAATTATTACTATTAATTTAATCACTGCCACAAGCTATAAGCACAAGGACAGTGACTGTTACACAGGCAAGCAACATAGTCCATGTTTTATTCAGGTTAATGTGGACCACATTGGGCTTATGAGCACAGCTGTGTACTGCAAACGACAAGGACAATTTTAACTTTTTATATTCTCTTGACATTTCTGTTTTAACTGTAGAAATTGAATACAAATTCTGCTCCCACCTCCTAGGCCCACCCGCAGACATCTATAGCAGTGCCTCTATGTAGAATAGAGCTCTATTATAAACAACAACAACAAAAATGCCTCCACATTTCTGAACACTTGTGGCATCTACATGAACACCACTGCCAATCACTTTCTTACTGATGAAATACCAGTTGCCACAGCCTTAGAGAAAAATAACTTTTTATCTCCACTTGTAGTACCAAAACCCTGTGCATATAACTTGTTTCAAGAATGAAGACATTATTATTCAACACAAATGTTCCTCTTTAAAGGCTTTTCATGAAACAGGATAATGTTTACCTACTTCTA